AAAATTATAATAAGAACTCAGATAAACCGTATATTGCCGTAGTCGTGTGTTTATTAGTCACGTTGAATCAATGAAAGCAGTTGAATCTTCTGTTTATTCAGCTGCAGCGATAGGCATTTTCTGGGTTTCTTCTGCGAGGCGTATTTGGCGTTTCAGCGCGAGAGCGCCCTCTGGCCTTTGGATGGAGATTTACTGCTGATCACAGAACCGTGCTTCACTGAAAGATACGCATGACAGTCGCGAAGCTTCTGTCGAATCGCGATCTCGATTCCATTTCGATTTATCAAGCAGCCCTACTTACAGGTGTACATTTTGCCAGTTTGTGCTCCCTACGAATCGAACCCATAACCTCGCTGTTGCTAACTCTATGATCTAATAGTTGAGCTACAGCAGCACTAATATGTCTGACATATCTAGTTAATCTTGATTACCGGGAGGCATCGACGGTGGAAACCCAGCAAACTGTGGTGGAGGGATTCCTGGCGGCATCGCTGGGATGCCTATTTGTGGCCGGTTGAGATGAGGAGGGAAAGACATCTTGGGCAGAGCACCCACCTTACACAGAAGAGAAACACATTATTAACAACTTTAATAACAGGGGTTTACATAACGTTTAGGCTGCTATGATACACACGCTGCTCCGCTTACACAATCAAGATCTTCTCGTAAGTTAGTTCTGCAATAGTAAGTACCTATAGTACTATTACTTGAGCCCATGTTTAAAGCAGTTAAATTTGACTTTAAAGGGTTAGTTCGCCCAAAAATGAAAATGCTGTCATTAATTACACACCCTCATGTTGTTCTAAACCCGTAAGACCTCCGTTCATCTTCGTAAACGGAGGTCTTACGGGTTTAGAACGACATGAGGGTGAGTAATTAACGACCGAATTTTAATTTTTGGGTGTACTATCCCTTTAATTTATAGCATATAATCATTTTTAAAATAAATAAATAAATATACACCAAAACAGAAAATCTTGACAGACCAATCAGGTGATTTCAGGGCGACTGAACCAGCCTGAATTCGACCTGAAACCAGCTTAAAGTTCTAAAATCAACATGAAATCAGCTTAAAGGTTTGAAATAAAGCTCAAGTAATTCTAAAAGACATGAAATTAGCTAAATTATAATAAATCGTCCTCTAAATAAGCAACAATGCACTGAAAGATCAAACTGAAAGTACTTGAAATGTTGTAAGGACTGAAAATCAACCTGAACTATACTTGAAGGACTGAAATCAATCTGAGATTAACTGAAAGTGTTGAAATCAGACGAAAGGTCTTAAAACTACTTAAAGGCCGATTTCACGTTGGTGTAACATCTCCCAACGTGACTAACCATTGACGTTACCTAACCAAATAAGCAGGTGTATGATAACTAACGCGCTTAAACGCGGAAATTGTGTTGCTTATATGAAATTTAGTCATTTTAAACCAATAAATCAGACCGGTTTGTCAGAAAATAGCAGCGGGAAACATTTGTGTCAGACCGGGCAACTGCTAGCCGCGAGCTAACGTTCATAAAAAGCCTTTATTCTGACCACTATCAACGGATTAACTCGTTTTCTCAAAGTCCTGTACGAGACTATGAAAATATGAACTCAAAAAGATAACTAATACTTGAATAAATAGTACTCACTCAATCCAAATCGATATCAACTGGCTTCTCGCACGGAAAGTTCGCCGGATCCGTGGTAAAAGCAACGAGTAATCAAACCTGCCGTTTCCGGTGAAATGGAATTGTGGGAAAATAACGGGCAAGTTAAAAGACCTCTGATTTTAAAAAAATAAAAAATAAAAGTCGAAATAAAATAAAATAACAAATTAAATGCAAATATACAACAAGTTTGCTCTTACAATTTCTTGGTGTGGGATATGATAATATGATCTTTCACAATTATTAGAATTAGATTATGCATGTACTTCATAAAAGTCTGCAAAATAATTGCACATTTATCGCAAATGTAAAAAAAATTAAAATAATAGTATGATAGAAGTATTTAGTTCCTCTCCTTTTAATTGTAGTCATTTGGCTATAAATAGTTTTTCTATTATTGTTTTACTGCGTATTATTGCTAACCATATTCTCTGTTGATTCTAAATGAAACATGAACTCAGAATGTGCCACAGCAGAATTATTCATTCACTTCCAATGTTTTATATTTGTATTTCATTAATTGCGCGTGAAATGGAACAACGCCAAGAAAATATTCAAATTCAGTTGTGAATCTCACAAAACGGTCAATAAATTTCCAGTGCGAATTGTCCACAAAAATCGGGGGAAAAAAGAAAATAACATTAAACGTATTTTTAGGGACATTCAGAAATAATTTCTTATTGTTTTTCTTTTGATTTTGGTGTGAAATTTAACCCGACGTTTCTTCAGATTCGCCCTTCTACGCTGCAAACTGCATTTGAGTGACAGGTGACGTCAGCAAAGGCGGGACTTTGATGGAAAGTGCTGGAAAGAGACAAAGCACCGCTAGTTCCAACGACTGATGTTCTTCCGATGCAGAACATAGTGCAGTCGATTACGCCTTGTTATGAGCATTTCTCACACTGACTATTTGACTACTTCATGTTTTAATGATAAAAATATATATATTTTGACAACTGTATAAAGAGTTTCCAATCAGGGAAGCACACATTTTGCCCGCATCTTTCCAAACGTTACCTGTTTTTATAACTGTTCCACCGAATCAGCCTGAATTCCCTGTCGAACAATCTAGCATTTATTAAATATCACAGATTTTAATATAGTTACAAAGAGTCATATAAGCATGCTTACGGTTTATTTATAATAATGTGCAATGAAATTGTTGGGTTTTAATACGAAACGAATTGTTTAACTAATTCCGGGTCCTTTCTTGCAGGAAAATTTAATACGAATCTTAAAATAACTGACTCTAGAAGTGTTTTAAGTTCTAAATTTTGTTTTTATTGTTTTATTGTATTTTATTAAGCGTTTCTTAAGTTATAAGTTAATGTATAAGTTAACTATAAGTTAAGTTATAGTTAATGTATTACTTTATTATTTCCGTTATTTTTACGTTATTTATATCTGATGCAGCTAGTAAAATACTGCATTTGTGGCTGGGAATAAATGCGATTTACACAAATAAAACAGAGTAGAGTGTCAGGGTTGCCAGGTTTTCTCAACAAAACTACCCAATCTAGCCCAATTGCGTTTCTGGGGATGCCACCGGTGAAAATCGCATTCCGGGGGTAAAATACACGTTTTTTGGCGGGTTTCCCTGGTAAAATGAGCATTCCAGGTGCTAAATATCACATTATTGCTGTCGCTTCAACCCGCGGACATGAAAAACAACCCGCGGCTACAATGTTAAAGAAGCCCAATTCCTGCCGAAAAACCGCGGACCTGGCAACACTGCAGAGTGCGTCAGCGCGGAGGGATACAGCCGCGCAAGTAAGAAAAGAGCCGCGCACGCGGGGTTCTCTCCTCTCTGCTTCCCTGAGTATCAGCGTAGGGGAGATCAGCTGTTTCTGTGGCGAATAAACCATCAAAAACCAACGAAACTAACCAAGGTAAGCCGTCGATCTCCATCTGAAATGATTCCCTATAATTTCAGGAATTAATCTAGACTAAAAGAACGTTGTTTAATCTATTTATTTCATTCGCTATTTAACCGGCGCACTTATCTCCGATCTACAGACGCGGTCATCTTTTCATAAGATTTCGTTCTTTTTTTTTTCTTCTTTTGAAATAAATCGTACGTTTTTGTAGTTTGTAATGTTTATTTGTTTTTATTTCTATTTAAACGAGTCGGTGAGCAGGTGCAGTGGTTGAACTATGCTATATAACCGATGCTTGTTATAGTTGAGCATCTTTTTCTCAGTTTGTCGTTATAATTCATATCTATATATACTTGCATCCACACTGCCAAGAACCGCAGATGATCCGAATGTGTATCAAATACAATAAAATCTCTTTAGTTAGTCGTTTTGCGTTTAAAGTTATTGGGGAAAGTGTCATGAAAATGGGATTTATTCCGTTGAATTTAAAAAAAAAAAAAAAAAAAGCAATACGTATCTAAATCGGTTTAATTTCAAGGATTTCAGCAGTAAAACACGTGTTCAGCTCATTGTCCTTCTGCGCCATGTTCTTCCGCATCCGGGGCCTTTATGCGCCGGTTTTTCTTGTGTAACTACTACAACTGATGGAAGTGGATAAATGCTTTCATTTTCATTTAACATTTTGTCCAATTTAGACATTTATTAACAAAAATGAATCCGTAATGTGTACTTACGTTAAAGTATATTGTAGACATGTTAAACCATGTACACGGATGTAATAATGTTGATCTGAATTGATTTTCTCAGATGCCTGAAGAAATGCGCCAAGAGGAGGAGGCCGAGACCTTTGCCTTCCAGGCAGAGATCGCCCAGCTGATGTCTCTCATTATCAACACCTTCTACTCCAACAAAGAGATCTTCCTCAGGGAGCTCATCTCCAATGCCTCTGACGTAAGCCCATGATAGCCTGTTTTTTTTTTTTACGTCATATATGGCTAATTCTAGCAATAAGACTATATAGTTCCTGCGATCAATCTGGTTTTCCCCACTCGACAGGCTCTTGACAAAATCAGATACGAAAGCTTGACAGAACCCTCCAAACTGGACAGTGGCAAGGACCTGAAGATTGAAATTATCCCCAACGTTCATGAACGCACTCTTACCCTCATTGACACGGGTATTGGAATGACCAAAGCCGATCTCATCAACAACTTGGGTACCATCGCAAAGTCTGGGACAAAGGCCTTCATGGAGGCTCTGCAGGTGATGTGTCTGCCAGTGTTAGCATGTTTATCAGTAGAGATGCACCGAAATTAAAATTCTGGGCCGAAACTGAAAATTCTGGATGCACTTGGCCGAAAACTGAAAATGCTTTTTAATAATTAGGCCTATTTATTATTTTATTGCATAATATAAAATAATTTAAGACTTTAATTTAACTAAATAATTTTAATGATACTGAATTTAAAAAAAAAAATGCAAGCCAATAAAATATATAAAAAAATATATCCATATATTTTCAGCTCGTATTTTTTCTCTTTTGGCTGAAAACTGAAAATGCCAACTTAGGTGCATCCCTATTTATCAGCATTTCTCCATTGGATTTAGTCTCTAATGTTCCCTATTCATCTCTCCAGGCTGGTGCAGATATCTCAATGATCGGGCAGTTTGGTGTGGGCTTCTACTCCGCCTACCTGGTGGCTGAAAAAGTCACAGTCATCACCAAAAACAACGATGACGAGCAGTACACCTGGGAGTCGTCCGCTGGCGGCTCTTTCACAGTCAAGGTGGATCATGGTACGTTACAAACTCATTTTTGATCACACAAGTGCAATATCAAGAGTGATTTTTGTTCACACACCTGTCGATCTCCAGGTGAGCCCATCGGCCGTGGAACCAAAGTCATTCTTCACCTGAAAGAAGATCAGACGGAGTACATTGAGGAGAAGAGAGTGAAGGAAGTGGTCAAGAAACACTCGCAGTTCATCGGATACCCAATCACTCTCTTCGTGAGTGGGATTCGGTTTAATTAGTGGAGTTTAATTTTTCTGATCAAATTGTTCTGGTAGTTGAGTGCTGCAAAGAACGATGGTAAAATACCAATTTCCATGCAGGTGGAGAAGGAACGCGACAAGGAGATCAGCGACGACGAGGCAGAGGAGGAGAAGCCGGAGAAAGAGGAAAAGGAGGAAGGTGAAGACAAACCCAAGATTGAAGATGTCGGCTCAGATGATGAAGAGGACTCCAAAGACAAGGACAAGAAGAAAAAGAAGATCAAGGAGAAGTACATCGACCAGGAGGAGCTGAACAAAACCAAACCCATCTGGACCCGCAACCCTGACGACATCTCCAACGAAGAGTACGGAGAGTTTTACAAGAGCCTGACCAACGATTGGGAAGATCACCTGGCTGTCAAGGTAACAATGGGTTCTGCAGAACAGTGTTGAGAGAATTTATGAAATACTGACTTTTATGCATTGTCCCGCAGCATTTCTCTGTGGAGGGTCAGCTGGAGTTCCGCGCTCTGCTCTTCATCCCTCGCCGGGCCCCCTTCGACCTCTTCGAGAACAAGAAAAAGAAGAATAATATCAAGCTGTACGTCAGAAGGGTCTTCATCATGGACAGCTGTGAGGAGCTCATCCCAGAGTATCTGAGTAAGTAGCTTTGCATTTAAAGAGAGAGTTCACCAACAATTAAAATTGCCGTTCGCTCGCCCCTCATGTCGTTCCAAAGCCATAACACTTCGGTTCATCTTCAAAACCCAAAATAAGATGCTTTTAATGAAACTTGAGAGGTTTTGCCATTTGAAAGTCCAGCTGAATCCAAAAAGCCTAAATTAAATCATGTAAAGCGATCATAATTCTTCACTAGACTTAGATTAAACCGATCAATTCATATGGATACGTTTTATGATGCCTTTGTGACCTTTTTGGTTACCTGGACTTTCAATGGACCGAAACCTCTCTGCTTTCAATAAGTATTAATTTGAGTTTCAAAGATAAACCAAAGTCATAAGAATTTGGAAAGGCGTGAGGATGAATACATGGCAGTTTTCATTTTTGGGTGAACTATCCCTTAAATTCAACATGAAATTGCCCCTTTGCTTTTCGATTTCTGCTGACATAATCAATTCTGTGTAAAGTTGACGAATAATAGTCTATTCATGGTCCAGTCCATTTTAAAAAGTCCTGCTCCACAATATTTCCTGCTGATGATACTT